CATCATCTTAAAAGGCGCGCCAATCATACTAGGTACATAATTTTTATGACCTGATGTGTCTATCGACGCTTAACTGTTTCAAAATAAGCACGCTCACATTTACTGATTTCCCTGTAAATTAGGAATTATAATAAAATATATTGAATATTATTTGTATCAAGCGCCCATAACAAATACCATGCCAGTCTTTGTTCTTTAGCTTCATTTTCATATTTATCTGATCAAACCTATGGAGTAAGTTTCGGGTTGCTCTCGGTGATTTAATAATAACAGTTGTGATGGTGATTATTCGAGGAAGGAAAAAAAAATTACCATTCCTATCAAAAACCTTTTTCATATAAAATGTAAATTTAGTATATACGGAAATAAATTGATGACCGTTTCTCGGAATGATACTCACAGGATATTACCGCATATAGTGTATCTAATTACAAATTGAAATATATAATCGTAAATAGTCCTTTGGATATAACGATCAAAGAGCAACAAATGGAAATTAACTGACCTACATGTCCGATATAGTTGAAAATGCTCTTTCCATATAATTCTTCAATAACACAGGCTCCGTCTTTTTCGAATTCTCTTTAGAAATTTCACTTATATTCTCTTCGAACATGAATAATGATCTAGATGCGTATACGTCTTAGAAAATTTCACCAAGCTTTGAAATGCTAAAATTTACGCGTCAATTTTCTTTGAAGTTAGAACTTTTGACGTCATTTCAGAACAATACTACTCGACAACAGCGTTGGTAGCATTCTCAACTATAAGGAAAGAACCCTCAGCGAATTTGAGCTCAATTAGTATAGCAGCATCTGAATCCAGCTGGAAAGCACGTAAACATTTGCTGGTAAAGTTTTTTTGGAGGATGGAATGCCTGAGAACGGAAATATACTCCATTAGGTATCGTGACGTTACTAACGATCGCTGATATATGTGCAGTATTAAATATTAACTGAGCAAGCATTAACGCGTTGATTTTAAAGACGATAGATTTTCTGAGTTTGAAGATTTTGATCATTTTTATTACTTTAAAATAATGAAATCATATAAAATGATGATAAATTTTCAAAATTTTGGCCTGATTTAGGATTTGCAATCATCGTAATGCTGGCTGACATTAAGTTTGGCCAGAATTTG